TTCCCTTTACTGCCACAAGAGGGTGCAGCTGACACTGTGAGTCAATTGGTAAAATGTGCTGCTGGAAAAAAGCAGAGATTAAGACAGATGTAAAGAAGATTTTAAGTGGTTTACAGTAATCATCTTAACTGATAATGTCTTTAAGGTGTCCAGGATGAGTTGAATTGAAAACTGGACACTTGCTGTTGGCTGTTTTAAGCATTTTTCTTCTGATATTTATTATTGTGTGTAAAGTGATGGGTGTAAATGTTGATACATGCCTGTCGTTTGAATGTGAAAGCATATTTTATAAGTCTATATGCTATATAATATCTAATACATGTGATATTTTGCTCAAATGTATCCTGAAAGAGTGAACTGCATCCATTTTCTCCTATATCTGCAACCCTACGAGGTAAAAGTAGTGTGTAAGTAAGTGAAGTGCTTTTATGCTCCGTCAGGAGTGTTTAAAAACCTCCACATCGCTCCTGCAGGCTCTCGCTTTCATGCTGCTGAGGCTGGGCTCTATGTCTGAAGAGCTCCACCGTTCCTGTTCTCCTGATGGGACTGGAGTTACAAAAATATATATACATATAGCAACATATTGTGGAAAAGCTGTTTAATAAATGGACCAATATTTCCGAATCTACTTTTACTCTGATTATGTACGTATGAAAAATAATGCATTGCATTTACTTTACAAGTGTGTAAATGATCTGTTCTGAAATAAAATCAATTACATGAACACTGTTAATGACAATAATATGTAATAGACGAAGCTGGATGGAATTTAATAAATATACATGTTTGAATCATGTCAATTTCATGCATTTTTTAAGTGTATTATTTAAAAGCACCAGGCAGCTTATGCTCTAATAGTGAAAAAACACCACACTGATGTGCAGGCATGTTTTTTTATTTATTTATTTTTTAAATGAGGAATACAGGGGGAAGCAATGCCATCTGCAGCAAATGCAGCGCTCAGGCAAAATACTCCAGCAACACAAAGAACACAAAGGCATCATCCTCAAGACTTACAAGCTATTAAAGCTCTATTGGAGCTGGATTAGCTTCACCTGGAGAGGTTCTGTAATGTAACCAGTGAGATCATATTGTACAGTGATACAGATTATATTGTCAAATTTGTGTAATGAGATGCATCAAATCCTAATTCTTGTTTAATGATGCATCTTTTCATAAAGCTTGTATTGCGATATACATTGTAATGTTTGCATTGTAGTATGTATTATATTGTAACATTTGTATTGTCATATGTATCATATTCTACCATTTTTATCATGGTATCTGTCATATTATACCATTTGTATCATGGTGTGTATCATATTGTAACATTTGGATCATTGTATGTGTAGTATTGTAAGATTTGTATTGTGATGTATCATATTGTAACATTTGTGTCATGGTACATATCATATTGTAATATTTTTACCATGTATTAAATTCTAATATTAGTGTCATGGTATGTATTATATTTAATATTTGTGTTGTGATAAGTATCATATGGTACCATTAATATAATGGTATGTATCATATTATAATGTTTCTATCATGATATGTATCATATTCTAATATTTGCATTGTGATAAGCATCATATTGTACCATTAATATAATGGTATGTATCATATTGTAACATTTGTGTCATAGTGTGTATCATAGTGTAATATTTGTATCCTGATATGTATCATATGGTAATATTTGATTCATAGTATCTATCATTTTGTACCATTAATATCATGGTATGTGTCAAATTATACCATTTGTATCATTGTATGTATTATATTGTTACAATTGTATTGTGATATGTATCATATTGTATCATCAACATCATGGTATTTATCATATTGCAATATTTATATTGTGATATGTATCATATTGCATTATTATTATCATGGTATGTGTCATACCATTTGTATCATGGTGTGTATCATATTGTGCCATTTGTATCATGGTATGTGTTATATTGTAATATTTGTATTGTGGCATGTATCATATTATAACATTTGTATCATGGTGTGTATCATGTGATGTTTGTAAAGTATTGGATTGTTCGTATTACTCATATAATGATATGTAGCATAATGCTTTTATCATAATTTATTTATTCTGAAGTTTGTATTCTGATACTTATCATATTGGACTTCCTTGGCTGTGTGTAGGAAGAACAGGGGAATCGGAGTTGAGCGCTGAGAGGAAGCACAACGAGAGGTGAGGTAGAGCTCAGGCTTAGAGCGAACTATTAGCCAAACTCTCTTTCTGCTCTGCATAGCTGTGCTTGACTGCAGCCGTTAAACAAAGCACAACATTCAGCTGTGTCTTCTTTCATAGTAGTGAATGCTGCAATACTGTGAAGCATGCAATGTACTCTGTATCATATCATAAAGATTGTGTTTGGGGAAACTAGTATCCTAAAATGTGCATCATGGTACATATTATATTTAGTAAATTCATTTATAGTGATGTGTATAGTGTTGTAATGCTTCTGCTGTGATACATATCATGATGCTTGTTTCGTGATGTAGTATCGTGCAGCTGCTGCCAGTGCGTGGCTCCACTTCCAGGCTGTGAGTGAAACGCTTGTTCACGCCCTTCAGGTGGAGTGTGGGACAGACTGCTGATCAAACCAGCTTTCAGGCAGATAATAGAGCTCCGGGTTTGATGTGCTGCTGGACGGCAGGGGGCTGGGAAAGAAGCGGCTGGTCAGGGGAACAGCCTGACGGGAGAAAGATAAAAACCAAACGCAGCATGGGGTCCAGCGGAGGGTAGGAGGAAGGGGAGAGGAGGAAAAAAAGAGGAGGAAAGAGGGGTGGGAGCTCGCATCCCTCTGATGGGTCACCAACTACTGATACTGCTCTCACTGGACACTTCATCCTGAGAGAGACAGAGAGAGAGAGAGAGAGAGAGAGAGAGAGAGAGAGAGAGAGAGAGAGAGAGAGAGGGGAGGGGGGAAAGAGTGGGGGTGGAAGAAAAAGGGGGAGAGGAGAGAGAGCAACAGAGAGAGGGAGAGAGGAGAGCGGAGAGGGGGCTGAAATAGAGAGAGAGAAATATATGTATAAATATAGAGAGAGAGAGAGAAAGGAAGAGAAGGGAGAAGAGAGAGAGAGGCAAACAGAGAGAGAGAAAGAGAAAAAGAGTGAGAGGGAGATACCAATCCCTTACCAGTATCCACCATTGTTGTTGTTGTTGTTTTTGTTGCAATAACGCATGATATTGGATGTGTTTTTCGGATATAACTGTTGTCATAGTGTACTGTTATTCTGTTATTATTATTAATATGTTTATTAGTATGACAGTCATTAAAATAATACTACTATGCTTTAAAGTGAACTGCTCAGAGAAAGAGAGAAATCAGAGGATTATTAAGTAGATAAAATAGATGACATACTTATGTTTATTATCGTTTGATTTGGCAAGAAAGTAACTACCACACATTCATATACATCACATTGTAACAGTTATGACATACAAAATATATAAATAGAGGAGTGAAGAGGATGATTTAAAAATAAGGGAGGAATGTTAGAGAGTGAGGTGGGTGTGAAAAGAAAAGGAAAACTAAACTAAGAAAGTGGAAAACAAGAGGGAGGAAGTGATAGAGAGAGCAGAAACAGAGAAGGCAAAAAAAGCACGAATAAGAGACAGAGGCAGAGAGAGAAAAAGAAAGAGAGGAGAGAAAGAAAAGGAGAGAAAAAAGAGAACAGAAGGAAAGAAGTAGAGGGAAGGAAAAGAGAACGAGATAAGCAGAGGAAAGATAGAGAGTGTGAAAAGCAGAGGGAGAAGATAGAAAAGAGTATGTATATATATATATAGTGAGTGAGAGAGAGAGAGAGAGAGAGAGAGAGAGAGAGAGAAAGAAGGGGGGGGGGCAGAGGCCTGAAGCTCTTCTCTGAGTGGGACTGAATAGCAGGATCTTTTTAGTAATTAATGATGTTCATTCTTAACACACACACACACACACACACACACACACTCATGCAGTGAATGAACTGATTAAACAGAGTTATTAAATTATTAGATTAATGGAAATTCCGGCCTCACAGACACATATGAACAGCATTCAGACTGAACTGTGATTTGCTTTATGACATAAATAACTGATACAGAGTCACTACAGAGAAGAAATTACAGACTGTCAGCAGCACATGGACATCAGATATCAGAGAAAATGGTCAAGACCCCCCACAGGACCCCCACTGAGCAGGTATTATTTGGGTGGTGGGTCATTCTCAGCACTGCAGTGTCACTGGCGTGGTGGTGGTGTGTTAGTGTGTGTTGCACTGGTGCGAGTGGATCAGACACAGCAGTGCTGCTGGAACGTTTAAACACCTCAGTGTCACTGCTGGACTGTCTAAAGGAGTGGACAGTGAGTGGACACAGTGTTTAAACACTCCAGCAGCACTGCTGTGTCTGATCCACTCATAGCAGCACAGCACACACTACCACACCACCACCATGTCAGTGTCCCTGCAGTGCTGAGCATGATCCACCATCCAAACAATTACCTGCTCTGTAGTGGTCCTGCTGGGGTTCTGACCATTGAAGAACAGGGTGACAATGTTTGCAGAGAAACAGATGGACTACAGTCTGTAACTGTAGAACTACAAAGTGCTCCTATATGGTCAGTGGAGCTGATAAAATGGACAGTGAGTGTAGAAACAGGGAGGTGGTTGATATATCATATAAAGCTCTAAGTGATGACATCATAGATATAGAAATATATGTAGATTTAGATGAAGAGAGTTAATTAGCTTATGGAGAAATTTATGAAATAATGAGTGAAAATCAGTACAAGACTGGAAAGGCCAGTCCTGCCTTAGTCTATTAGTTGGGAGTAAGTGCGCGCGCGCGAGTGAGTGAGAGAGAAAAAGAGAGAGAGAGTGAGTGAGAGAGAGAGAGAGAGAGAGAGAGAGAGAGAGCATGTATGAGCGCGTGTGTGATGTGCAGCTCGTCTCGTGTGCATGTGTGTCTCGCTTCGAGAGCGCGTGCTGTGGGGACGGTCACGGAGCCGGTGCAGTCTGGTGAGAGAGAGAGCGAGAGAGAGAGAGAGTGAGAGAGAGTGAGTGAGAGCTCATGTGCTCATCGCTGCTGTAAGTTTGGAATGTTGCTGGTGTCCGCGCGCGGGATGGAAACGTGAAGCGGATCTGTGAAGGAGGTAAGGCGCGAGCCCGCGGGCTCTACAGGGCGGTTCGGTGTTTGTGCGGTGAGTGTGGCTCGTGCCTTTTGGGATTTATGTGGTGTTCTGTAGCGACTGTCTGGCGAGTGTGGGGTTGTTGTGCTGTTTTAAGGGGCGAGTGGCTCGTGCGTTTGAGATTTTTCCACCGTGCGTTTGCATACGACCGTATGCACGTGCATCGGCTCTGTGCAAATTGGTCACACTATCAGTGAAGGGGTCGCCCTTAATCTCGAGCTCGGGGATCAAACGCTCGTGCAAAACGTCCCACAGCTGCTTTGGTTCAGCCTGGATTCGTCCTCCCTCTCTCTCTCTCTCTTTCTCTCTCTCTCTCTCTCTCTCTCTCTCTCTCTCTCTTTCTGTGTGTGTGTGTGTGTCGTGCACGCTGAAGCAGAACTTGTTTGTAATTGCACGCACGATGCATTGGAATCAAATCAGCGCAGCGCGTGCTGGTGAACTGTGTGTGCGTGTATGTGTGTGTGTGCGTGTTGGTGAAGTGTGCGCGCGAGGCGAACATCCATTATTGTTTTACTGTGGCACTAAACACTGTAGTTAGCTTTACAGTAAACCTTACATGTGTAAAGGGGTGGTTTACCGAAAATGAAGTTTACATCATTATTTTTGGATTGCAGCTACGTGTACTTATCATATAATATGAGTCTATATCATCAAGGTTTTGGGTGACCTAAGCGACCAGTGCTTGTTAGTTATATCAGCCTCGTAGGTCCAGCAAAGAAGCAAACTTTAGACACCAACCATGTTGGGATATGTGGGAATCTCTGCATAATTGAAAGTATTTGAGATGTAAACAGTTCAGAGTGGCTTGGTGTGAAATGGTTGATTGTAGAGACTCAGATTTCTTTACAGTCGTAGTGATATGAACCAGGAACAACACAAATATAGCCATTTTACTTACTACCCAAAACTACCAGTGAACCTACATGTGTCTTCTGAGTCTTATATGGAATGTTGATGATGGTAAAATAGTGGAAAATCTGAAATAATGAATTTCTTTGGGGACTATTTTGCATGCGTCTCGCTTGTATCCCTCCACTATGAATGGATTTTAAGGCCAAAATCTTTTCAAAACTATCGTAAACAAAGTCTCAGGCATCAGGCAGCATGTGCATAACCTTTTCATGTAATAACTTTCTATGAAGGAGCTTTTAGAGGTGAACATCTGCTTCCTATCACCACCACTGTGAACAATTCTGACTTGGTAAGTTTCTCTAGAGTGTCAGACCACTCTGAATTATTTAAATCTTAATTATTTAATTGTGTAGAATCATTGAGAAAATGTTGTTGAAGGTCACTCAGTTTGTATAATCTGCATAGAGAAGCACTGGCCAAAAGAATGGGACACTCTGGAGCAGCTGCACATGAGTCTAAGGTCACCATGGCCAATGCCAAGCGTGGGCTAAAGGGGTATAAAGCCCCCCAGCACTGGGCTGTGGAGCAGCGGAACTGTGTTCTCTAAAGAGATGGAGCCCTGTCCAGTTCCTTTGGGATGAGTTTGTGATCCAGAACTGACCATCCAACATCAGTACCTGACCTCACTAGTGCTCAATCAAATCCTCACAGCAATGTTCCAACATCTAGTGTAGAACAGTAGAGGCTGTTACTGCCAGCACGAACTCACTATTAATACACTCCATTTCTGAAGAAACTGTGTCTACAAAATTACTTATTTAACAGTGATAGTGTTGCATATGCAGTTTTAATAAGTAGCCTTATACAGCCTGTTCATCAAAGCTTTGCGGATGTATAACATCTTAAGCCTGTTGCCGAGCACACGTGCCTCCCTGCATCCTCCATTCCTCCAGTTATCTATCCATCCCTTCATCCACGAACAGCAGAGCAGCTCGCTTTCATTTCTGTGCATTCAATCCTCTACAGAAATAAGATGCTGCCTCCAGCACAGTGTTGCCGTGATTATGCTCGTGTTGCGGCTGCAGCGTATCGATGCTGATGTGATAAAAGAGTGTATGCTGGAGTCTCTCGCGCCTGATCCGTTCACTCAGTCTCGCCCGCCCCAACAGATCCTGCGCTTTTCTCCCCGACGCAACTGAATTTCTGAAAATAAGCGATAAGATTAAAATCACTGTCTGTTAGAGCCTTATAGGGAGGTGTGTGTGTGTGTGTGTGGGGGGGGGGTTACTGTAGATTAGGAAGTGTACAAGAGAGTGACGTGTATATTTATTGTGTGTGTGAATGTGTGTGTACAGTACTGTGAAAAAGTCAGAGACCCCATTTTCAGTTGTTTAAGTTATATTTAAAAGAACAATATTTGAAAAAACTGTATTTGCCTATATTCTTTTAGTATGAGTTGCAGTCGCAGTCGCAGCATGTGTTGCAGTATGTGTTGCAGTATATGACGTTGCTTTATAGTGTATCTTTCACTCTTCAGTCCATACAGTCCATATATGAAAACTAAGCTGCAGTCTGTTTTGTGATGTCACAAGAACAACACATTTGCATATACCCACCTGTTCTACCTACAGCAGTTTAGCTCTGCCCATTCAAGCTGAAGTTATAAGGAGTGTTTCAGCCTGAACTGTCTTTTTTAATGATGCACAGCCAATCAGAACTGAGCTCATTTACATGTATCAGTCTTATAGGTGCTGTAACAAAAGCAACCTGCTTAACACTAAGGGATAAAGAGAGGCTGATCATGTAGAAATGAATTATGACTGTTTTTGGTACAAAAGGGCAGATTTAATACTTTTGACCTCACATTTACTGTGATGAAGTTTTTGCATCCCACCACTTCCCCATCACCTGGTTCTTCAGTTCATCAAAGGGGGTCAGCTGTTCTAGTGTAAAGCAGAAGCCTGCAGAAATCCAACGCAAGTTCTCAGAGTTCTCTCCCCTCCTCTACTATAATGAAACATGTAGTTGGTCAGTGTCTACAAGTACTCATGATATACATGATACATTCATGAAAGCATATTGTATTGTGACATAATTTAATACGATAACTATATTGCCATATTCAATCAACCTTTATTTAAACTCAAAGTACGTTGAGGGGGACCCTCGTTAATGATGTAGCTGAGCCAGAAAAGGAATCAGGGATTGAGAAAAATAGATTGTGAAAATATATCAGATGCTAAAAAAGTCATAATAGAAAATCAAATTTTACAGTAAAAAAGCAATATAATCAGAATAAACCATTATAATCGCAAAAATAAAATAATAAATAACATCTAATAGAGATAGAAGTAATAAAAAAACATAGTTAATGAAATTAAAAAATAATAAATAGAACTGCGCAGCCCTATGCAACACGAATTATAATATTAAATCTTTCAGTATTTAATGTGTCCACTCTTTACTTCTGTGCACCTTCTGCCACATAACTCTTCCATTATCACCATCTTAAAACCAGCGGGTTACAGCTGCGTCCTCCCAACAAGAGGTGTTCACAAAGGAGTCACTGACATTTTTGGAAACAGGGAGTTCAAAAATGACTAAAAGCTGCAGAGAAAATGAAGCTCTTAACAACCTGGTAGACCTGGTAGACACCAAAACTGCCCCCATCAGATACACATCACTTAAAGCTTTCATCTTTGAGAGAGAGGAGAAAATCAAGCTGCTTCAGATCTCAAAACATCCACAGGTGTTACTGTCCAACCTTCCACTGTGAGAAGACAACTCAGCGCTGTGGGTCTGAAAGGATGTGTAGCTGTCAAGAAGCCTTACTGAGAAAAGGAGACAGACACATCAAACAAAGAAGTTGAACAATGGACTCACCACCCCAGAGTCCAGAACTTAATATCACTGAATGTGTTTGGATTACTTCAGAAAATTATCAACGATGACGACCATCAATGATGATTTCTTTGAGAAACTGAAAGTCAGTCTCCTGAAAAGAATGGAAGCTGTAATGAAGGTAAAAAGTGGACAAACTAAACATTTAAACATCTGATATTTAGTTGTTGAGGCTTTGCTTTAGGGCTGTTCCGATTACCAGTTTTTGAGGTCCAGAGCTTCATGGGGGAGGGGGGTGTCTGTATCCGATGCCTGTGTTAAAAGCACATCTTCACCTTTATCTTACCACTGTAAGATCCAAATCTCCAGGCTATCTGCTTTCCTCACAGAGCACTACAGCAAGGGTCCAGTATGTCAGGCCACCCTTTGCTGCTGCCCTGGGAATACATGCTGTCTAGAACAGCATCAACAGTTTTAACAGTGCAGTGTAACAATAGAAATATAGTACAAGAATACGCTGAGAAAATGTACTGTGGTTTCGCCACACTGTGGTGTAAGTGGTTCAGTTGTTTTAAAGAGAAAAAATGTTTATATTGGGCAGTTTTAGGTTCATTTAGGTCATTCTCCATTTGGAGTGGGAAACCATGTCATGAAGGTTGCAGGGCTTAAAAAGATGCTTAAAACATTAGGCACAGCTCCTTTGTTGTCTTTCCACCTATGTTGGTATGTACATTTACACAGTCGGCCTAAGATTAAATAATACTTTTCCCTTATGATTTTCTCTGATTTGTCTTTTTTTTAATCCTGTTTCATAGTCGCTCTGCATATGCAAAACAGCTCATCACTAAACCATTTTTAATATAAAACAATATTTTCAAGAGGTCTAACTTACGAATTTGTGTAAAACAGATTCATGTTTACTTTTTATATCATTAATGTTAAATTACACTATACTAAAAATATGTATTAAAAAATATATTTTTCACAGGGATTGTGGTCACTGGTGTTATCAGGATTCTAATATTACATTTTAGCATAGTATTTTTAGCTTTATTAAACTGCCTCTTTGGGTCATGACTCGTCAGAGAGGAAGCATCTCAAGGCATGAGAATCTGAAGGCATAAATTGGTGTATCAGGCAGCACATAACTTCTATGTGTCACCGGTGTTGTGTGCTTTAAAGGCTGAGTAATTAAGATTTTGTCAAATAAATGCCAAATATCATTATTATTACTGAACAGTTGCACAAGGTCACTTGACCACCAGTGATTC